GGATTACGACTTCTTGACTCTGCTTTTGTTTTATGGACTTAATTATTTACGTGAGATCTCGATTTCGTTGATATCGGACATCTGTATTCTGTAGAATCACATTTTGAATCAGTAAGCAGGTATGTATTAAAAAAAGATGTTTCCTTAAGCTATTAAACGCATTTTAATGACATGCTTCTATCTGTAGTCTGTTAATAATTATTAATTTCTACATAAGTTCATAATGGCTGCAAAATCTTAATAAGCACTATGCTCAATGACCTCAATAGTGTTTCCCAACGGATAGGTCTTAAGATGAACATGGACAAAACAAAGATCATGTTTAATGTCCATGTCACACCTATGCCGGTAGTTGTTGGGAACACTAAGCTCGAAGTTGTTGACGAGTATGTTTACCTGGGACAAATAGTCCGACTAGGTAAGTCCAACTTCGACCGAGAGGTCAATCGACGGATTCAACTCGGTTGGGCAGCGTTCGGGAAATTACGGCACATCTTCTCGTCAGGTATACCTCAAAACTTGAAAACGAGACTGTACACCCAGTGCGTGTTGCCAGTGATGACATACGGAACTGAGACGTGGTCCTTCACTGCTGGCCGGATGAGGAAGCTCAAGGTCGCTCAGCGAGCTATGGAGAGGGCTATGCTCGGAGTTTCTCTGCGTGATAAACTCAGAAATGAGGATATCCGCAGTAGAACTAGAGTGACCGACATAGCCCAACGGATTAGTAAGCTGAAGTGGCAATGGGCCGGCCATATAGCTCGAAGAACCGACAACCGATGGGGAAGAAAGGTTCTCGAGTGGCAGCCTCGTACCGGCAGGCGAAGTGTAGGGCGTCCCCCCACTAGATGGAGAGACGACCTGGTAAGATATGCAGGAAGTCGATGGATGCAGGTGGCTCAGGACCGTGCTTTGTGGCATTCTTTGGGGGAGGCCTATGTTCAGCAGTGGACTTGTGAAGGGCTGTAATGATGAATGATGATATGTACTACGTACTAGAGAAGCCATTCCGAACATTGACTATGTTCAACTGAACTGTAGTGCAATCCATACAAACTAAATATTGCGTAAATTGAAGATTTGTGAATTCCATAAAATAATTATTATTACATTTTATTTAGAAATATGTTTGTTTAGATTAAATTAAGATATTTTATATTCAATTCTTATATTTATTTTATATTAATACCTTATTTTATATTAAATTAAAGTCTTCGCGCATGCGCGACTACTACTCCCGCGCATGCGCGAAGACATAGAGTAGGGCACAATTTTTGTTTGGGATGGCTTCTCTAGTACGTAGTACATATAACTCAATGCTTAATATGATGTAATTATTTTTCAGTTCACCTGTTAAAACATGTTGCACTGTCTAAAATGCGCTTCTGCAATATAGATAGTTTATTAATAAAAATTGTTTTGTTCTAGATGGATGAAAATGCACCAATATGTTCACAATGTTTTGCAAACGTATTACGAGAATTATCTGTCGGCACAAATCATGAAAATGAACTTCAGCGCCCTAATGCCAATATTATGAGTATATTGTATATTGGTGTCAACGAAGACGGGGTAGCAGATAAGTTGTAACCCGATTAATATCACCCCAACTATACTCTGTTTTAATAAGCGGCCGTATAAAATCTCACCATCACTCGGACAGAGCTTATTATACATATATACTGTTGGCGAGACAAGGGACAAGTTGGGATGAGATGATTGCAGGTTATTATTGCAGTTGCACTTCTGGATAACAGACAGTGGGTTGCTGTGCCCACATAATGACCGCTGCCTGGTATTTGTGTTGGGCTCGGTATCAAAATTCCATAACCGCACCGGCCTCAATTCTGGATGGCATTTTATTAAGAGAGAATTTCGAAGTAGGATAAATAAATAAAAAAATTTAAAAATTAAGCTGTTTTATTTATATTACCTTAAGTATCCAAAACATGATTGACCTAATGTTTCACTTTCTATAACTTATAGGACTGTTCACCTTTGTTATGACATTATCCAGACTTTAAATGTCTGTCAAGGCTCAAGGCATACTCCGACACGCTGAGGACCTGTTATATGAAAATATTTGTACGCCGGAAACGTATTTAGGATGCGAATTCTTTTGTAACAACTGTAATGTACCATATTATAACAAATATATTATCTATGATTGTACTCTAGCACTTCAGCAGCCCAGATAGACACATATACCTGAACAGAAATTAGTATTCAAGATTATTCTGTTTATCCACCTTAAAACAGCCACTCTAAAGTAAAATGAGTTAAATATATTCTTAATTATTAGTGCAATAAAGTAGTATCTCAGGGTGAATTTTTTAGGGTAGAGAAACGGAGTTGCCCGCTATTCACATATAATCTCGGCTTTGACCTATCTGGCACATAATTTTTGTAAAAGCTAACAAAACACTTAGGCTCCATTTCCCCATGTAAAACAAAAATGTCCTGGATGCCCCTGGCACTGAAGTGTGCATTAGTACACACTAATTAATGCAATGATATAATTTTGTGTGTAGACACCGTTGATTTATCTCAACAATCTTCTTGTCTGGAATTAGGTAGTACTTTTACATTTGCGCTCTGATCGCGCGATGTCTTATCATTAATCTATGGCTATAGGTGATATCAGAGATGACAGCTAACGTCAAATCAAAACGACTTCAATTCGCCATTAGTGTTGCAGTTTTTGGTGAGAATAAATATTAATTGCACTGAAATTAAGGCAAATTCGTGAATTTGAATGATCAAAAGTGGTTTAATATTTCATTTTAACTTATTTCCATACTAGTACATAAACTAGGCCTACGCTTCATACAATTTTGGACCGTCTCCTTTAATGCTTGCAAAACACAACCTTGTCTCTTCACACTGTAAAAAGGAACCTGTTCGCTTTGGCACCTTCTTTCTTCTTCTGTTCTGGAAACTGGAATACATCGACCGCTTTCGGTTGTTTGGGGTTGAGATATCCTCAAACCCGAACTTCGGGCGGTTCATTAAGTCCAAGGCGAAAGCAGCAAGGAAACTAGGAGTCCTTGCAAAGATGCAACAGTACTTTATGCCCGGACAGCTTCTTACTCTATATATAGACATGTAACTTATCTAAGATATAAGTATCTGAAATACAGATTCAAGATACAAAATACGTATTTTCATCTTGTAACTATAAAACTTTTTTTAAATTCTGCCGTATCTTGTAGGTACCTTTTGTATCTTAGTATTTTGTAGATGCTATTTTGCTAAAATACTTTTGGTAATAGATAACAGATTTTATTGTTACATCTTAGGTGACATTAATTTTGAATGTCAATGTTGTCGTAGATAAAACTGAACGCGACATTGAATCTTTGGAAGTAGAGACTAGATATGAGTTGGGGGGGGGGGGGGGTGGTTCGAACTTTAATTCTAGTCAGTTTGAATAGTCTATCACGTAGGGGATGTCATGGGGGTTATGGTTGAATAGGGGCAAAAAGTTCTCATTACACTCCTAGGGGTTCAAAATGGTCAAAAACCAAAAAATGGGAAGTGGCTCGAACTTTAGGCATAGTCAGTTTGAATAGCCTATCATGTAGAAGATGTCATGGGGGCCGTGGTTGAATAGGGGCAAAAAGTTCTCATTACACTCCTAGGGGTTCAAAATGCAAATTTCAACAGTTTGTTGCGGTGAAATTTTTAGAGCAACTAATTTTTAAACTTGGTACCTAATTAGCACCTAAAAAGTCTCTAATTTGGGCGTTTTCTAAAAGCAATTTTGATTCTATTTTGATTTTCAGAAAATTTGAATTTTGCATCTGCTATGTTCTGAATAACGAATTTATTTTTATTAGGGGCGCCTTGTTATTGCCTATACTTGCAGCACCTAATTAGCACTTAATTCCTTGCTATTAATATTTATCGTATATCTAATAACTTCATTGCGTTGCTAGCGAGACGTTTTGCTAGCAACGCAAATTTCAACAATTCGTTGCGGTGAAAATTTTAGAGCACCTAATTTTTAAACGTGGCACCTAATTAGCACCTAAAAGCCCCTAATTTTGGGTTATTCTAAATGCAAATTCCTGATTTTGCGTTGCTGGCGATACACAACTGTATTTTATATCTAGTATTTCAGATAGATACTATTCCAGAAAGTTATTTGCATCTGATATCTGAAACACTCAATTTAAAAGTATTTTGTATTCCAGATACTTTATTTAAGGTATCTTGTACATCACTATCTATATAAAGAGCAAGTCCGGTCGTGCATGGAGTATTGCTGCCATATATGGGCTGGTGCTCTAAAATGCCACCTAGCAGCTTTGGACTCAACGAAAAGGCACGCTACGAGGTTTGTTGGTGACCCGAATCTGATTAAAATCAATCTTACCGGTCTCGAACACTTTACACAAAGTACCCAGCCCTTCAGTTTTCTACAGGATGCATGTCGGAGAGTGTGCGCTAGAGTTGCATGACTTTATTCCTACCACTCCTTTCCACCATCGACAACCAGATGTTTGACCAGTCTCCACCTTTCGTTGTTGACTTATCACTATTATTATTCAGGTGGAATTGTAGTTAAGCGCTGGCTAAGGATAGTAAAATAAAAAGAATTAGCTTCTTCAGAAAAGCTGCAGTTTCAATAACCACATATGGCACGGAAAGGTTTTTCTACTCGTTCTATAACTTCATAAATAATTCATAAGAAATGGAGTTTTTACTGGAACACTTTTATATTTATACATAAAATACGTTTACATAATATGTACACATTTTATCAGATCTTTCACGAAAAAGGTTTTGTTACAGTGTGTATTTTCATATGCCTTTGCAAACTTGTTTTTCTTATACATCTAAATTAACAGCTATTACACGAAAACCGTTTTTCTCCGGTGTGTATTTTTATGTCTTCTCAAATCACATTTGTTTATACATCTAAATTCACAGATACTACACGAAAGAGATTTTTCTCCAGTGTGTATTTTAATGTGTTTTCTCAAATTAGATTTGTGTTAACATTTATAGTCGCATATATTACACGAATAACGTTTTTCTTCAGTATGTATTTTCATATGATAGCGCAAAATACTTTTATCAATACTTTTGTAGTCACAGATATTATACGAAAAAGATTTTTCTCCGGTGTGTCTTTTCATATGTATTTGCAAACGACTTTTTTGAATACATTTATATTCACAGATATTACACGAAAAAGGCTTTTCTCCGGTATGTATTTTCATATGTTTTTGCAAGCTACATTTTGTAATACATTTATATTCACAGATCTCACACGAATAAGGTTTTTCTCCAGTATGTATTTTCATATGTGTTTGCAAACTATGTTTTCTATTATATTTATATTCACAGATATTACACGAAAAAAGTTTTTCTCCGGTGTGTATTCTCATATGTATCATCGATGGACATTCAATCGATTGGTGTGGTTACACCCTTAGTGTACCAAAGGTTTACTCCTTTGATGTATGCATTGTGAAAAAAAAACCATTCAGTTCGAATGCCTTAAAATATACAACATGACTCGTTGGTCTTCTAGTTGCCTCATGGTGAAAATGGGAGGGAGTCACACCTTGTCTTGAGGCTTTTCGGTGGAAAAAGAGTTAGCGGTTATTGTGTGAAAATGTGGATAAAAACAAAGCAATTCAATACATGTATTGTGGACCACACAATATAGAGCAAACATATAGTTAAAGGAGGGGATTAACCTGAGCAGGGTTACCACCACTTACCATCAGGTGGATTTTAAGTTAATAAAAATATAACATTTAAATGTGTATTTTTACATTTCTTAGTTTAATACAATGGTAAATAAAGTTTGCAATATTTAGACATTTTTCACTACAGACTTTGGCAGAATTTGGCAAGTTTTTAACCAAAGTAAGGCAGGATCTGCATTATAAAGATGGTCACACTGCATGCAGAATTATCTTGCGCGAACTATAGACTGGTATACAATAATCACAAATTAATAAGAAGTGCTATGCCTCCTCTACACTACTCGCGAAGTAGATCGAAGTTAGAAGTTGAATTAACTTAGAAGTAGGTGAATAGTGAGTTACTTCGATTCGATTCGTGCAACCTCGCTTCGCCTCGGGTGACTTCTGATCGCTGTAGGGTTTTTGCGCCTAAGTGAAAGGACTTCGCGAAGTATCCCAAAGGTACACGAAGTACTCGGCTTACACCTTGTTCACGCACCTAGATGTCCCTACAAAGCTCAAATATCCCGGGGCCCATCAGCGGTAGATTCGACGGACAACTAGGACGGGGCCCAAATGGCCTTATGGAAAAATGTTCTATCCTACTACACTATAGGGAGAAGGCTAGGAAAATAAATAGTACGTACCTGGATCTGAGGCGAAGACTGTCCCAAGGCTCGGTCAGGGCGAAGGTGTGTAGGTGCATGTATAGTGGTGTTTTAGTGGTAAGTATTGTGGTTGACCTGACTGGACCCTTGAAGTCGGCAGCAGCCCTGACTCCGGCACCGCCCCAAGGTGCAGTACTCTCCAGTGGCGTGACCCACGGTCAATTTCTTTCTTACATTCACTAATTCAGTCTATCAACTTTATTGTACATTTAAATTACTTCAAAACGCACCTAAATCCCGTTACTTATAATCAAAAACGTAACACACAGCACGAATACCGAATGTTCGGATCAAAGGTCACTTCCGTTTCATGTGGCAACAAATTATTTCTAGAACCGAACACGACCTTCTCTAGAGTCACAAAGTTTAGCGTTCAACCGACAACGGAAAATGTCTCCGAGCTATATCAAATGCAGCACGAGCAAATTAATATTGCCAAATGCACTTATATACGCTATCAAATTAGAATAACCAAATTAGCGGTAAATTAGGCGCGCAAAACACACAAATTCAGACGTTGATCGCAATCAATGTTAACTTCCTAACAATTAGTCAACCCGGTGTCTAATTGTAGACTACAATTCTTCGTCGTTGCACAAATTTGCTAACAAAATCGACACTATAAATGGAGGTTATCTCGGGCGACCTCAAGCCGTGCTAGCGACCGCACTGCCTTCAAGCTACTCTTCGCACTCGCGTTCTGCGCCCGCGCCCTCTGCCGGGCGATGCGCACGGGAGTGGGGCACGGTGACCTTTACAAAGTCAGCGGGCGGACACGAGTGTTGAATGCGAATTTCAAATGTTAATTGTTTGGCCTAAACACACCTGTTATGAATATTTTTTTTATATATAAATATTAAATATGTAGCTTTCTACATAATTATTTATTTAGTTAATACATAATTATGTAGAAAGTCGTACTGTTCACACAGTTAGGTGGCTCTTGAACCTATACCTATAGCAGCTGCCTCTTAAACGTTATTCATGTTAAGGGTACAGGAGACTCAAGATGATTGAGCTCTTCGCGAAGTAGCACGAGTGTGTAGTCACGTTCTTCGGACTGCGATCGACTTCGACGAGCACTTCGTCAAAGTTACGTCGCGAGTAGTACCTTTGTATATGCTCTACAGTTCTAGTATGGCATATACAAAGGTACTCTGTGGTGTAGAGGAGGCACTAGACAGTAAGTAAACTGTGATTAGTCAGTAACTTGAACGGTGAAGGATTGTTGCTGTTGTATTATTGTTAAAATAATAGTTTAAAGTGGATTTTGATATGTAAAAGTGGTGCGATTTTGTGTATTATGTGTCTGCGCATGTGAACTATTAGTGGAAACGATGAAACAAGTGCTCTGATGGTGATGTGATTCTCAAGGTAAGGTGTCTGGCTGCTTAGATGCCTTGAAATACCATTGCCAACTATCAGCTGTTTGCGGACGCAACTTGCCGTCAAAATCTCCCAAGGGCTGCACAATGTGACACATCAACATATTGTGAAGCAGTGTACTATGAAGGATAATTGTAACTTCAGGCTCAGTAGGGCTAGAACCCAGAGCCTTAAAGCCAGTTATAAACTTATAAAATAAAACACAGAGTACATTATATATAGGGAAAAATAAAATAAATGTTGATGAAATAGAATTCAGGTGTAATCAATTTCATCAATTCTTTAATTATTTTAAGAAAACTAAGATATAGAAAACGGAAATGGCCTTTAGTGAAGTTTGTAGAATTTGTTTAAGCGTTAATATATGCATGTTTGTGCTAAAGAAGACTGGCCTTCAAAATTTGTATAAGACATTGACGAACAGTTTTGTAAGTTTTTTTAAAATATATTGCTAAATGAAGTTGCGGTGATTTGTTATTATCGCTGAAGAAATACATTATAACGCCTGATATAAAATGCGATAGATATGTTGTGTGTGTATGTTTACCTGGGGCTATCCTGGGTTGCACTAATATCAGTATTATCATTAAAATAATATGTACTACGTACTTGAAGATACGACGAGACTGCTGAGTCTGTGCCATAAAAAGGTACCCTGTGCCTCGTTCCACACGACCCACACTACTGCATAGATTTTGTTCCCGGTATCTGTTCTAGTACATATTACTTCAATGGGTATTATTGCGATTTTCTATCAAAAAATTAACATCCATCCTGGAAAGTTGTTCTATCGGACTATTAAAGTGGGAGAATAGAGTGGACATGTGCTTCCAGACACAGAAATTCCCCCACTCCCATATTTCTATCAGACTGAGAAATCAAAGGAGGGAATAATGTACACATGTGCTTGCACACACAAACATGCAAGATAATCCTGTCCTGCACTAATGAAAATCTCTGTTGTGACTGATATTCTGTCTGTAGGACATTATTATCATTATTTTATATGTGGTAGAGCCAGACTGCAGCTATATTATGTTTGTATCACAGATGGGTCGGCTTGACCGGGTAACCACACTCACAGAATACCAGCATAAAATAGCAGCTATGTTGCTCTGGTTTGTGTGTTGAGTTCCTCCTACCACAAGCATTTTCAGTTTACTTAGAGCGATATGAGAAGTATTTGTAATGTTTTTACTTCCTAGAAGTCTGTTTGGATAGATGCATCCTCTTACCTATTTCTACCAAGCAGCAGTATGTGGCCCAGTCTGAAGGACATTGAGAGCCAGTATAGTAACAGGCTTCGATGCATTACATCTTAGTCCTCAGAGGTAACATTGCATCTGTAGCCATTGCTTGATGTTTGTTGCAGGTGCCCATGGGCTGCAGTAGGTACTTACCATCAGGTAGATGATAAGTTTGTCACTTCAATATTTTAACAAATTATGTCTATGAACGGACGTCAGTCTGAGCGAGATTAGAATGGCTCTCCAGCATCTTAAAAACGGCAAGGCCCCAGGCGAGGATGGAATTACAGCGGAGCTTCTGAAAGCGGGTGGAAAACCAGTACTAGAAGTCCTTCAGAGGCTCTTCAATTCCGTCCTCCATGGTGGCATTACACCGGAGGTGTGGAGCAGAAGTGTGGTGGTCTTGTTCTTCAAGAAAGGTGACAATGCTCTCTTGAAGAACTACAGACCGATTTCCTTTCTGAGCCGCGTCTACGTGCTGTTTTCGAGAGTCATTATGAATCGTCTCGCATGCAGACTTGATGACTTCCAGCCTCCCGAACAAGCCGGTTTCCGAAAGGGCTTTAGCCACATAGACCACATACATACCCTTCGGCAAGTTGTACAGAAGTCCGAGGAGTACAATTTGCCACTATGCCTGGTGTATGTGAACTATGAGAAAGCCTTTGATTCCGTCGAAATTTGGGCAGTACTGCAGTCCCTTCAGCGGTGCCAAGTTGACTGTTGGTGTATCGAAGTGCTGAAGTGCTTGTACAGTAGGGCTACGATGGCTATCAGAGTACAGAATCAGAGTACGAAACCTATCCAATTGCAGAGAGGTGTAAGACAGGGTGATGTTATATCCCCGAAACTCTTCACTGCTGCATTTGAAGACGTTCTTAAGCTTCTGGACTGGAAAGGATACGGTATTAACATCAATGGCGAGTACATCACTCACCTTCGATTTGCCGACGATATAGTCCTTATGGCAGAATCACTGGAGGATCTAAGCACCATGCTCAATAACCTCAATAGTGTCTCCCAAAGGTTAGGTCTTAAGATGAACATGGACAAAACAAAGATCATGTTCAATGTCCATGTCACACCGATGCCGGTAGTTGTTGGGAGCACTAAGCTCGAAGTTGTTGACGAGTATGTTTACCTGGGACAAATAGTCGGACTAGGTAAGTCCAACTTCGACCAAGAGGTCAATCGACGGAGTCAACTCGGCTGGGCAGCGTTCGGGAAACTGCGACACATCTTCTCATCAGACATTTCTCAAAATCTTAAAACGAAATTGTACAACCAGTACGTGTTGCCAGTGATGACTTACGGATCTGAGATGTTGTCCTTCACTGCTGGCCGTATGAGGAAGCTCAAGGTCGCTCATCGAGCTATGGAGAGGGCTATGCTCGGAGTTTCTCTGCGTGATAAACTTAGAAATGAGGATATCCGCAGTAGAACCAGAGTGACCGAAATGGCCCAACGGATTAGTAAGCTGAAGTGGCAGTGGGTCGGCCATATAGCTCGAAGAATCGACAACCAATTGGGAAGAAAGGTTCTTGAGTGGCAGCCTCGTACCGGTAGGCGAAGTGTAGGGCGACACCCCACGAGTTGGAGTGACGACCTGGTAAGACATGCAGGAAGTCGATGGATGCAGGTGGCTCAGGACCGTGCTTTGTGGCATTCCTTGGGGGAGGCCTATGTTCAGCAGTGGACTTATGAAAGGCTGTAATGATGATGTTGATGAAGTGAATTGTGGTAGCCAATAGATTTTATTACAAACTTATATATTATTTAAGAAGTATTCCATATTATTTATGATGTACTTTCATATTTTCAGATGGATGAGAATGAGGATCCCATAATTGTCTGTTTGACCTGTCATGCAAGACTCATTCGTTGCAGAAGATTACAACAACAGGCTATTGACTCAAATGCAGTTCTGAAGCAGTTGCTTGCAGGAGGATCCATGGTATTATCCATTCCATCCATTAAAAGAAAGGAGAATGTTTTTTCTAGTGCAAAGTTAAGTTTGTCCTTCAATCCAACTTAGTTTTTTGTTAGGTAGAGCAATATTCTATATTTTATAAATAGTGTCCGACCGAAACCGAAAATGAACCTTCGGTCTGGGTGTCATGTAATTTTTTTTTATTGTATACTGAAATCTGGTATATTTTATGCATATACAGATAGCTAATGCATGTTAATGAAAAACAGTAATTGTAATTGTCATGTAGCAATATATTTATTAATTTTAAAGTAATAATCAACAATTTGAAGTTAATAAATAATTTTTTAAGTCAATTTTGTAAAAAAATCCACACTTATTACATGGTAGAACCATGCTGCAGCTATATTAGTAGTATAGTTGTAGCACAAATGGGTTGGCTCCACTGGGGAAGGACCACGCTCTCACAGAATACTAGCGTAAATAGCAGCTTAACACTGCTGTGTTTCGTATGGTGCGTGTAGAGAACTGGAAACCTTTTTTACTGGAAAAAGGGCATTCCATATTAGTCCTCACGGGTGACAACGCATCTGCATTTTGATTCTTTTTTGAGGATAGATGTGGATGTCTATAGGTCACAGCAACCACTTACCATCAGGTGGACTGTGTGCTCGTTTGTCACCTTATCCTATATTTAAAAAAAACTTACATCCACAAAAAGTTACTTGCTAATTGAGAATATATTTTATTGGGTTCACAATATTGTATCTTTTCAAAATTGTATCCATTTACATCAATACATTGCTGCATCCGATGGAACCAATGAGAAAAGCACTTTGCCCACTCGTCCTTAGGGGTCTCTTCGACGGCATTTTGAAACGCAGCCACTGCTTCCTCGGCGTCCATTAAACGTTTTCCTCGAAGTTTTTCTTTTATTTTCGGAAATAAATAAAAATCGCAAGGTGCGAGATCGGGTCTATAAGGCGGGTGACCTAATATTTCTACGTCTGACTTTGTCAAATAATCTATTGAAAGGAGGATCTTACTGCGAGGTCGTTTTTGCCGAACTTTTTCCAAGACAAGTGGCAAACAATTGTTAGTGTATAACTCTGCAGTAACTGTTTTTCGATCGTCTAAAACAATTGTTGCGTATTGACCTGTCCTTCCGAAGAACAAGGCCACCATCTTCTTTCCCACGCTTCGACCTCTCTTTAATTTAGTTGAAAACTCCTCGGAAGGAAACACCCAGGCAGCAGACTGTCTCTTAGTTTCAGGATCATAACAATAAATGCAGCTTTCGTCACCCGTAAGTAAGTCGAACACAGCATTTGAGTCACCTCCGTTAAATCTTTGAACCATTTCACGACACCAATCAACACGACGGAGTTTTTGAGCCTCTGTCAAATTATGAAGTATCCACCGGGCACAAAGCTTCCTAGCCGCTAAATGTTCATGGAGGATTTTGTAAACTTAACTCATACCGATGCCTAACTTGTCCGAATCTGCTGATAAGTCACTCTTTTGTCAGTCTCTATCATACGCCGCACAACATTGATGTTATCTTCAGTCGTCGCCGTCCCTCACACAGATCATCGGTGAGATTAGTGCGACCACGTTTAAACTCATTAAACCACTTGTAAACAGTGGCACGAGATGGGGCTTCATCGTGAAAGGCCAATTGAAGTCTATCATAACTTTCTTGTTAACTTAAATGACATCGAAAGACATAAAAAATATTTTTTCGCGTTATATTCATGCTGACGTGACAGACAATTTTCAATTTGCCGCCAAATAGTAAAGAAATGAAAAATTATTAAAATACATACACAATAATATTGGCAGAGTTCCATTTCCAAATTTGAACTTATTTTTTAATATATCGTTTACAAGTGGCCAGTTCTAAAAACTTTCAGTGTCACCCTCGTAAGTCTTATCAAAGCATGTTTGGTAGGATAGATCTATTGGGTAGATCCTTAGAACGAAAGAAAAGGGGCCTTGCTGATTCAACTTCGCCCATGTTTATATTAATCTGCGCTACACCTCTGATTGTAAGCTGTTATTTAAAAAAAAGTTCCGCTGAGTTTCTTGCTGGTTCTTCCAAGGACAGACATCTTTTTTTCGAACCAGTGGTAATTATACAAAAGAGTGACTTTCAATAAGTATTAATTACAATCTATTTTGAATAAAAGTTTGTTTCTGTATAATTATGAATAATATGCGAGTCACGAACTCATCCGAACGATGCACGATAATCCACGAACACTGAGTTTCGGCGCCAGCGAAGGTTTGGCAGATTTTTTGCCGAAACCGAAACTATTACCGAAACTAGATTTTTTTGCCGAAACCGAATCTTCGGTTGGTCTCTATTTATAAATTTCAGTAAGTTATGTATTTATTATGACAAAAATAATTATTAAACTGTTTATACTGTTATATATTAGTCTATTGTATATAAACGAAATATAATCAAATATGAAATAAAGATAGATCTTTGTCAATTTATGGCATTTGTGAATCTAAATAGAAAATTTTTTGAGACTAGATTCTTGGGATGGATGAACTTTTACATTCATACTCAAGTTTATTGGGAACCCTCACTTTGGTCCGGTTTTTATTATTATTTGAAGTTGTTGTCAGGAAGATGATCCTCCTCCATCTCCTGTTTTCTTTTCCCTCTGTCCCTTTTTACGACATCTGGTTTTTTCTCTTATTTAAAAAAAAATTGGTTTCAGTCCATACCAAAACCACATGAGGCAAGAGAAGAGTTTCAAGTCACACCAGTTTATCATATAGATATTTGGCCAGTAGAGTGTGACATAGAACAAGATTGTAAGGATGAAATTTTTAACCTTGAATCTGTTAAAGTTGAGGAAGAGAATTTCGAAAATGAAAATTCCAACTTTGAAGTAAATGGGAATCATGAAACAGGTGAGACACATTTTATGATATTATTAAAATAATGTACAATTTACCTAATGGCAAGTGATTACTGTAGCCCATGGACACAAAAAGTGGGCATCATGTGCAATGTACCGATTTGCCTTTGCCAAAATTCAGTGTGCATGTAAAAAGCACTTATGGAGAAAGAAAATTATAAATTAAATATTTATATAAAAGACAAGAATGTATGGACATCATAATTTTAAAAAAAAATCTAGTTTTAAAATTATTATGTATAGTAAAACTATATGAATTATAGCACAGAATAGATAATAGTACAAGAACAGAAGAATCATTCTCTGATACCAAAGTAGCTAAACCGGTGTATAAAGCTATGCGGTCTTGGTTCATGTGGATTTTCATAGCACCACAAGTGTTCATTGTGCGAATTAAATAGTCCTATTCTACCAAATGTTGCTTCATCAGTCCATAAAATGTTAGTTCGTTTAGCAGTTAGTAACCAGTTACAAAATGTAACTCGCGCTGGTTTGTCAGCTTTGCTGAGTTCATGAACATGATGCAGGTGGAAAGGGTACTTACCGTTATTGTGTATGACACTCCATGCGTAGTATTGTGACACATTGAACTGTTGGGCTGCCTCATAAGTGCTCGCTGCTGGATTTTGTTAAAAAAACTGCAGTATGTCTTCCTGCTCACGTACTGGGCGCCGCGGTGGACGATGACGATCGATTGATACAGGCTGGAATTGCCCGTAATCTCACAATCGCTATGTAGCGCCTAGCATCGTAGCGTAGTTCGGTGCTCATGAGTTGGGAAATCGCCTTGAATATTCACGGCAGGCTTCATTAATGTTATCATTGCAAATTGTTATAATTCGCACCATTTCGGTATACTCAACATTTGAGTATCGGTAAGCCATCCTAACAAGGTAACGTTCGTTATATTAATCTCACAGCGGAACGAGAAACGTCGCGGGCGCATCAAAGGCGACTGACGACACAGGTAAATAATTAGATCAAGTTCAAATGAGCAAGCGCCGCCTCCTACACCCCTCCCCTCCTTCCCCGCACCCCGCCAAACGCTTTATCTAGGACTATTACCGTTTAGAAGGTCCAATTAAAATATCTGGGGGCACGGCAGTACATTTTTAGTCGAACAAGAACAAGATTATTTTAAATCGAACAAAAAAGCGGCACGGCTGTACCATCCTTTTCTCGAAGCAGTTCAGGCCATTTTCGTAACCCTATAACTTCGTTGTAGATAAAACTAGGAGCCTGAATTTTCAGTCACCAAGTTAGTATTGTATAAACTCGGTATATTTTAAATTTCATTAAATTTAAACTAGTAGTTAGAGTTAGGCATGGGTAATATCGCTTTTACCCTATATCAAATCGTACCTATGTATTGGATATGAATATCCGATTTTGTATCTATATATTTCAATATCTATATATTTGTTGATATCTTCGTTCTGAATAGATGTCAGTACGCAGTATCACATGGTGATACGCGATTTATGAACAAATTTCCATATATAGATTTATAAATAAATGATATTATTTATGTAATCTAAGTATTCTTAAAGTATGTCATAATATAAAAAGTGACATATAATATATATCAATAAGATTTAGTTTGCGAGATATTAATGAAATAGAATATTAAATTAAATCGTGTCGTGTTTATGCCATCTAACGTCTATAATGCGTACCACCGTGAGAGTTAATCATTATATTAGTCTATGGAGTTAATCCATTTTTGTTCGATAAAATCACTTAATGGAGTAGATGGCGCGTTTGCAAAGTATATTTTTACTTACTCCAAATATATTGTTTTAATTTATTACACTTAAATTTAGGCTCTATATATCTAAAAATAAGGATTGTAACATTTATTTGCTATAAAATTAAACTTTTATATTTTATGCCACACTTGTAGTTGAAAATTATCATGTTATATTATGTCTTTGTTGCTGACACGTTTTCGCTTCTCGTTGGGCTGTACTTACTTTCGTAAAAGCATCTAAGTGTTTTTTTTTTTAAATGCGCCTTAAGGTTGCCTGTTGAGCCTTTGTAACTATAAATATCGCAACAAATGCGACATTTGGCCTTTTTATCGACTATGTCATATTTCTCAAAATAGTTCCATATTATGCTTGTAAGTGGACGAGACATATTGTTATAATATGTTTAATTAGTTCTACACAATGTCAAACACTAAACTAGAATTAATTTGTTAAAAGAAATGTACACTATCTACCTAATATCTATGCATCTATGTAATATTTTATGTTACACTACTTTTAAACTTTTAATACACAAAAACAGTTCAAACTTAAGAAACCATATAGGTACCTATACACAATACGAAAAAATTATCAAAATAAAATTTAAATTTCGAAACCGAATTACAAACGAAAGTGAGCAGAGAAATTACATAAAATATGTCATCCGCATTCAAATTACGCGACGCAATGCACGTGAACGAAACAAAAAATAAAATTTAAAAATAGAACACAAAAATCAAATTTGAACAAATAGGTACTTCAATTTTTGAAGCCCCAAAGGTCGTGTTAGAAATATTTAAAATTAATTGGTTTAAAAATAACATCCTATTATATACATAATAAGATCTATAATCGTTTATTTTGAAATCAGTGCAATACTACTTAGACTGGATATTAGAAATGATGTGTTCTGTAATAAATCGTATGACACTAATAATAAGGATTAATATTAATAATATTAAGCGTAAGCGTATCACCTTTTCGTTGTAATGTAGTCGTAATATCTGTTTTAGCTATATATTCTAACGAGGTTTGTTCGGTATCCGAATCAATGTATATATTTAGATATTTTACGTTTCGTTTTTGAGTAGATATTAGATATTCTGCAATGACTCATATCAACACGGTATCGTAAAATCGTAATATCTAATACATAGTTAGTTTGTCGTCCGATATATAGATATTGGATATTGTGCTGATATATAGATATTGTATCTATATACGATTTGTATCGCCCACTCCTAGTTAGAGTTATAACAGGTCAAAGTTTCTTAATTTTGTCACTCACTGACTGACCGATCATCAAAACTCTAAGGCACTTCTAGCAAGCTAGTAGAAGCTTCAAATTTGGAATACAATTATTGTTTAGTACATAAATCAAGGAAAAATTAAAATATTTAGCAATTTCGATCCAGTTTTCGAGATACACCAACTGCATAAATAAGTTTGTAATCTCATATGAATATATAGGATTACAGAGTTACATTTGCAGTGAATGAATCAGTGTACCTATATATGTATAATATAATAGAATAATAGGTGTAGATAGGTACCTAGATATAACTATCTACAAAAAGAAATGAGATGCCATCAAAAACATAACTTTTAAAAAAAACCAAGTCTCGCAACTCAGTTCTTCTACCGTAAAAAGTTGTCGATCCATGTAATACCTAGTCGGTTAATTTATTCAGTCCCTACTTAAGTGTCCTTCTGTCTTAAGTTATTACATAATTAGCTAACCTGACAACAACTTATAGTGACCATATCAATATTAAAAATCTTTTATGTTTTAAATAGATTGACTTATTGATTGATTGTTAAAAAAAAAACAAATCGTTTGTCTTATTGTTTAATTTTGCTTAAAATTGCGAACTGCCGTC